ACTGTCTCCTCTCTGCCAGTTAAATTATTCCCCTCGGAAACAAATAACACACTTCATCACCCGAGAATAAATTAGGAGGCTGATTAAAAACATCCCCAGCTGTCACCTGCAGGCCCCCGTCTATGAGTCATCACTGCGGGCCCTGAGATAATAAAAAACACGGCTCCAATAAAAGGTTTTTAACCTTTGAGACTGAAGCCAGTGACGTGTTTATGACCGGTGATGGAGGACGTGGTCATTAGCTCTCATTCCTCTGATAGGAGGGCACATGAGAAACATCAGGAAGAAACGCAAATGGAAACTGTTAGCCTGTCAATTATGGACTCGCATATTGTTGATTGATCGAATGAATGAAGGCCATTTCTCGGAAAAGATAATGACATTTGACTTGTTTGTGAATGGGACCTTTTTTGTGAAAGGTTAATAAGCATTTAGCCAAGCCCGGTATCTCTGCTTTTGTATCAGGACAATGCAGAACAAGTATTAGTTATCTGAAGAGAGTTCAATCGTTAACAAAGCTTAATAATTATTTGTAATAAACATGCTGCTTGAGTGCACAAAGCTTTAAAAGTTGTTCAACCAAACCTCCAGCTCCAGGAGTCAGAAACTTGATGTTATCAGGATACAATTACCGGAGGAACAGCAGTTACAGAAACTTGTAAACTCATGATGCAGCGCACTGGAGAAATTAGCTTTGTGTGCAAATACAAAGTGCAGTTATTACTGAACACAGAGGAAGAACAAGCTCTCTGTACCGCGGGCCATGCAAAACAGACCCATCATTATTCCAACTCATGAGTGCTAACATTTCTACCTAGAGCATAAGACCTGTGGAGAGGTAACGAGATGATTTATGGATCGGGGAAATATATATGACTTTATTCGCCTGCTTTTGAGCTACTGATGAATTACTTTAGCCATACATACAGCTTATAATACAATTACACTGTCATTGGAGAATACTGGCTGATTCAGCAGATAAAATATGCAGCTTGTAAAAAGATACCGCTGAGGTTTTCATGTGAGTTCAGAAGAAAAGTAGAGATTGTGGCATAACAGAAGGACCGACATAGTGTCACTGATCCCATTGCATTCAATTCATTTGGCAGATACTATTTTACTTACAGTAAGGGCCTATTCAAATTCAAATTCAAATTCAAAACCTTTATTTATACAGATAAAACCCATTGAGATCATAGACCTCTTTTACAATGGTGACCTGCTTCAATTAGTTCCAAACATTAATACAAACATGACAGAAAACAAAGGACATTATATGATACTACAGTTTGTATACTAGTAGCATTTACAGACACCAATATTTTCTGATTGTATAGCGTCTATCCTAGCTTTAAAAACATGAAATGGAATCAAACTGCTTAGCTTCCATTCCTATGCTTCAACATGAGCAAAACATATTCTCATTATTACTTTCTTTGCTTGTTGATTTAGGGAATCAGGTAAGTTATCTGCAGCATGTGATGTCTGACTGAAGTCTGAACATACATTATCCAAGTTGTTCTTGTTTCTTGACGTATAACCAATTCACAGTGAAAATGCTACGAGTATAATGTCCAGTATTTCTCCTTTAGTCCAAGAGTGCACGCTTAATAGTGTTCATGCATTATGTGTTTTTTTCTATTAAAAAAGTAAGCGTTTTAACACGGTGTGATGCCCCTGTGGGTTCATCTAGAGAGGGTGTGGCTGTGCCGTCTTGATTGCAGTAACTCAGGGCACCTGGGTCTGGCGCCCTGCCGCTATTTAAAGCCTCTGTCTGCTTTCTCCTACAGGCACCTGGTTTTCTGTTGAGCATGCTATGAGTTTCTTCAGTTGCTTCACTTTGTGCACTTCAACCAGAGATGTTCACAAGTCTTTTTTTGCAAGTCCAAGTCAAGTCTCAAGTCTTTGGTCACGAGTCCAAGTCAAGTCTCAAGTCTTTGTGGGGTGAGACTTGATCAAGTCTCAAGTCTTTGGTCACGAGTCCAAGTCAAGTCTCAAGTCTCTAAAAAATAAAAGTCTCATGTCTCTTCTGGTTGTAATAAGCCTTCTATTGTCTGCTGCTATCCAGTCTGTTAAGAATACTGCACAGCTATATCTAAGACATTCAAAGCATGTACTGTATTATTATCACTCCTATATCTATTAGCATACAGTATCAGTACTGATTAGTTGTTTGTTATATGATCACTTTAAACAGGCTATTGCAATGCAATATGAGGACAAACATCACACTTTAGCTAAATGCAAACAACTTATAAGCAAAACACTTCAGAATCAGAAATCAGTATCACAAATACTTTATTAATCCCCCGCAGGGAAACTGTGTTAAAAGTACTTAAAAGTAAACATTTGTTCTGTGCCATTTGCAACTAAAAAACTATTGCTACAATATTATCTGAAATATACTGAACTGGTGATATTAAAACATGACCTGTTCCAAAAGAGATATCTACCATTAACACCAGTTACCAGCCAAATGCTGGTAAATCATGCAAGTGGCTGGTACTGTATGTTGCACGCACCAGCCACAAATAACAATGGCAATCTATTGAGTGGCTGGTAACATTTCAACATTCACTAGGCTAGCCATTTGGCCAGTGGACAAAAATGTAAAAATGTTACCTCTGCAACCGTATTGTTTAATTACACTGGGTCTCTAATGACATATTTTAAGTCTACTATAAATAAACATATTCCTCTATCCTCTCACTCAAACCCAGTAACCTGATAAACCTGTAACATTAACGTTACGTGGTCAACAATAAACCTGTAACCTGCCTATAAACCGACAGATGTATTTATGTATGTAACTATGTATTTTTCTACGTTTAACGTTAGCCAGTAGATGGTGGCAGCGGAACGTAATGATTAACGTTACCGACCTTTTTGATGTCATGTCAAGAGTTGGATGTAAACGCCACTCAACGCAAACAAGTGTGACAAGCAAACATTCACTCATCTTTTCATTCAGTTACAAAGCTAGTAGCAAGCTAAGTTAACATTACATAGCTGATGCTGAGCTAAACATGTTTGCTAACCGTCCATATGCGTTAATGTGACTGACCTCTCCGGGTGAGTTTTAAATTGCCTGATGACATTTCACGTTGTTGCACCAGCATCCTTGATTTTAATATTGCAGACTTTGCAGTGTGCGCTCCTTTTGTTGGTGCCGCCGGCATTTTGTTCGAAGTTTTTATAGTTGAACCTAATTACAAGCGGTACAGCTGCAGGTGTGCCGCCGGTCGCCATGGTGTTACCATGATGTTAATGTTAATGTTAAAGGTGGGGTAGGTAAGTTTGAGAAACCGGCTCGAGATACACTTGTTGTTATATTCCATGGAATGCTCTTAACATCCCGATAGCCGGCCCGGCTAAAATAACTGGATGGCCTACCTGCCTGTCAGCCTCCATCGGGGCACAAACTTATCTCGTGCCCTCATTGGTCATGTGCGCGTTCGTGTGTGTTGGAGGAGGGGCTCTGTGAGGAAGTGGCAGATTTTCTCCGGTTGTGTATTTTCAAATTCTAGCGATCTCGAGCCGGTTTCTCAAACTTACCTACCCCACCTTTAATACGCCAAACATAGAAAACACAATGATTGTTCACGAGTCCCAAAACACGAGTCCAAGTCGAGTCCGAAGTCTTTTGAGCAGGAGTCCAAGTCAAGTCTGAAGTCTCTGTGTGTGCGACTTAAGTGCGACTCGAGTCCGAGTCACAGACTCGAGTCCCCATCTCTGACTTCAACACTCTCACACTCATACATGTCCATGCAATCCTCACCCTGTATTTACACTACTGATACCACTGACATCCACACCTCATGCTTTACTTGTTTTGCACTTAATTCATTTGGCTAATTTGAACCACTTGCTTTAATAAACATATTTTGTTTGATATGGTGTGTCTCCTTTTTGTTGTGGCCTTTTGAGCTATGTCATCATAACACACGGTGTCAATGTTTAAAGTATGTCAAATTTAATATTACTATTTATCTATTGAAAGGTTGTTTTTAAAAAAGGCATGTATGGTTTCTCACATTTCTGCTTCTGTTAGTCAGATATATTAATATAGCATCCTCGTGAGGGAACATTTCTGCACTTCCTGTGGTCACGGGGCTCTGAAAGTTGACTTTTAAGAATTTGGAGGCGGGGAATGAAAAAAGACATGTCTCCTTTTATTTCAATATCCATGCATGCTTGTTGCCCCTAAAGTAAAGGTGCGTATGTCCATAAAAAGGTGCAAATGGTGATGTTTAATTCACTAAAAACATGGTCACATTCATTACCGCGCTCTTTTTAATTAGCACCAACAACAACAACAATGATGTACCTTTTAATGTTGCAGCTAGTTTATGTAGGACTAGTTTATTTACCTTATATACTGCTGGGTAGTTTAACCTATGATAATACATCATGATATCTTAGGTGACTTGGTTTTAATAAACTGAATCTGCAGTTTAAATAATGTTGTGAAATATAATGGCGTAAAAGTTTTAATATAAGCCCCTAAAATGTAATTAAATATAACGTATATATAGGTAGTAGAACATGCTAATTATCAGATAAAGTGGAGTAATGTAGTAACTTGTTACTATTGCTCACAATATGTCAACACTCGCTACATAGACATCCAGAAAGTTGCATATCAAGCTTCGATAGTTTAATAAAGTGGTTAAAACACTATATCAGTGCATTGCAGGTGTCCAGCAGCCTGTTAAAAGCCACAACATGCGTCTCAAATCTCTATAAAACACAATGAATGAGTCAGATGGGTGTTTTTGTAGTAAAACAAGTCTTATGTGGGAGAAATAAACTTCAAAAACACACATAAATACATCCAATTATCGCCTGTTCACAACACAGTACTCCTGTTACATAGAGTTGCACAAATCCTTGAAAGCTTGCCTCATTCAGTCCACTTTCAGCGACACTGCAGCAGCGACATCACAGGGAAGCCACGCCGAATATAGAGCACAAAGTGTGGGAACAACAGCGGGACTTACCGGCGGAAAACCACTGGAGGTCCGTCAGCTGCTCACTTCCTTATTTCCTCCGACTGAAGGGAAGCTGCAGCCGCCTGAGTTTGGCTTTTCCTTTTTTAACTCTCAGTGAAGTTGTGAGCTAACTGCATGCTAAAGTTCACGTCCGCTCATGTCTGGTGTTTAGCTGCTGCGGCTAACTTCCTTCCCTTTTCTCTTTTCTTCACTTTTTTTGTTTTTGTTTTACATAAAGTAAAAATGTTTGTAAAACGCGCCATCACTGCCATCTATCGGTCAATGTGGTGAACTGCACTCTTCGATTACTATAGAAAAAAATTATGCCTGATAAAAAAACTGTGTATAAAGTAGGGCTGCTCAATTATGGCAAAAATCATAATCTCGATTATTTGGGTCAATAATTGTAATTGCGATTATTAAATGCGATTATTCATTGACTTTGAAAACATCCATTTATTGGAGAAAAACAATTGTGAACAGTATGTTTTTAACTGAAAAACCAAAAAAGACATCTTAAAAAGATTATCGTTTTATTTCCATTACGTTGTTTTCGTAATCGTTGCAAGCCATAATCGTAATCGCGATTAAAATACGATTAATTGAGCAGCCCTAGTATAAGGTTTATTTTATAAGTATTGTTATAAGTACCAATATAAAAATCTACAATTGAATACTAATGTTTTTTTATTGAATACTATATTATGTAGATAATGAGAGACATTGTTAGGCTGCATTATGGTTTGTGGAGTTGTATTTTTCTTTAGGGCTGTCAAGAACATTTTGCAAATTATGTTATAAATGTGTAAGTATTTATTATTATTATATTGATATTACCCCTTTTTTATTAATGATTACACTTCCAGAATAATAAAGGTGCATTAACTATCTTATTGTAATTGTTATGATTGTATATTATGTATTAGTTTTGCTTGTGTATGAAAGAAGCTTGGCAATGTTGCTCAACAATAAACAAATGTATTATAATAAAATGATACTACTTATATTATTATTACATGTCAACTCAAACTATACTTTATATCTTCTACTACTCTTCTACTACTGAAATACTTTATTATGTTAAAATGTTATACTGTCTAACTGCAGATACAGAAAGATAAGATCATCCTTTTCCAACAGCATGGAAATGTGTGAGATGTTTAAAATTGAACAATGTGTTGGATTTAGTTTGTGAGTTTAAGCTTATTCAATTATTTCAAGTTAGAGTATACTGTTGATCTTAAACATAACCCCAGATATCCCATAAATGTAGAGGAGGAGAATATGATATAAATGAAAAGTAGTGAAGAAGAATGACGAAATCGCAGAAAATGAAAATACAAAAAAATCGTAATGCCCAATCAGTGGTGACATAAAATGATCTGGTTATTACCCGGTATAAAGAAACATCAAAATCATCATTTGAGAAACTGATGTATTGTCGTTTAAGGGACAAAACACACTGTACACATGAAAACACTTATTTTAAAGAGGCATCTTTATTTGAGTTTTTAATTTAGTATTTGTAGTTTAGTATTCCACTTAATTCTAGACAGTTTTGTCCAGATTTCAATCCTTTTAATGCAAGACATGTGTCAGTGTTTATCAAGTGGGCTAACATTATGTGTTGTATGTCAAGGGATAAAACACACACACATCTTTTTATTTCACAAGTTATTCATCCCGCCGACACACAGTCATGTGAAACAAGCCTTACACAGTTTTCCATAATCCCTCCGCTCCCTGCGCTTCACATTAAGACGTTCAGAGCCTCAGAGGCTGATGGGAGTCTGGCAGCCTGTCAACAAAAAGTGGAGCGGCTCTCCATCCCATCATGCATCAGGACATGAGGAGTCAGTCTGTGCTGCAGGAATAAGGAAGTAGTGTTCAGTAAAACCCATCAAACCACCTCCCCCTCCTCCTCCTCCTCATCTTCTCTCTCTCCACCTATCCTGCATCCAAATTATGTAATGCATTTGAAAAAAATGTAAGTGCGCACTGAAACGCCCTTTCTTCATTTATTCAGAAGACTCACTATCATTGATGGCTATCTTGGATTTTAACAAACAAGACATTGTTCTCTTTAAGATACATTTAGCTTACAAGAAAGAAGAAACAGAGTTAAAAAGGTTTGTTTAAAATGTGCAGCGCGTGACATTAAGGCCCCGTCCACACGGAGACGAAACGGAGACGAAACGGAGACGAAACCGATTTCGAACCAAAGTCGATTTAAAAAAAGTCGGCTCAAGAAACGTGTCCGTCCACACGAAACCGCACAAAACCGCTGGAGACGCTGTAGTACATATGCCGGGCCTGTAAGTGGCGCTGTACTTCCGCCACAAAATACACCAAAAACAGCAAATAAGACCGATGACGATTATTATTGTTATAATTATTATATTACATTATTATTGTTGCTGATGGTTGCGGTCGAGGAGCTGTAGATTTTGCACTAAAATCTGTATCATGGTCAGTAGCGTCTGGAGCACGAACGCAACCCTGTGATCCGCCATTGTTGTTGTTGTTGGTGAAACGCACCAGCAATGACGCGGGGGTGAGCAGCAGAGGTGGGGAGAGGCGGGGCTATGGCGTCATCGATTCAGGACATGATCGTATAGGGCGTACACACGGAGCCGCAAGTGTTTCGCTTCCAGACTTACCCACTTTGGGAGCCGTTATCAAAGTGTATCGTTTTCGGGCTCCGAATCCGCGGATCCGTTTCGGCCTAGGTGTGGACGAAACGTCTATACGATAGAGAAAGTTAGCGGATACAACTGATATCATCTCCGTGTGGATGGGGCCTAAACCAATAAGACTGTCTGCTGTGTTGTAAGATCTATTAAGATTCTTACGTTAAAGTACTTTTTTTCATCAATATATAATAGTTCTCAGATATATACAAAACATGTCTCTGAGCGAATCTGTTTTCCTGGAACTTTCAGAATCTCTTTACACGGAGGGGACAAATGTTTATGTATAAAAGACATGAAAAAGTGGATTTTGCATTATAGTTGTTGACCAGTTAAGCCCCGAGCCTGTTTTTCAGGCCTCAGTCTCGAAAATGACATTCCCAGAACAAATGACCATATCTTCCCTTCTAAAAGGGGTAAATTAATAATCTTTTTTCTCGAAGCAATGATAAACCTGTGAGTTGGATGTAGAAAAGTCAGAATCAATATAGATGTTTTTATTTTAAAGTAAATTCAGATTGAACATAGTAAAAAAAACATTACTTATAGTGAAAACTACCCTTGGATGATGGTAAGGTTGACTAAAAGCTTTAGGAATCCAAACTATAACATATAATAAGTACCTTGTATCAAGATTGATGCAAAAAAAGTGACAATTGACCTTTTTAGAGAGGTTTAGAAAAAATAACCCACCTCTGGGGTCATTTGGGTGGATTTGGGTGCATTTGCCGTTTTGGTGATTGACATCTCTTTTGAACTGTTAGCGCCAATAGAATCGAAGGGGAAGTTCCACATACACACACGTTACCATTGAGGAGTGAGTGTGACGCGCACGCAGTCGAAAGCTATGTTACGCTCTGAAAACTGAAACCTAGTGTGAAGCTGACAATTGAGCGGCCCGACCAAGCAAGGAGGCAGAGGCAGAACGTCCAAAAATATAACCCGGTGTGGGCATTTATTAAACTTGAGCACAGGACACAGCCTCAATCTTGCTGTTCCCGTGAGCACAGTCACCAGCCACAAGGATCTCACACACCTCTCCCAAACAGAAAAACCCCAGAGCCTAAATACACACACTAATCAATCAACAAGACACAGGTGAGGGGGGAGGAGACAACACAGGGCACCAGGTGAACACAATCAACCACAATGAAGCTATACAACCCGTAACGGAGGCCGAGATCTATGGGCCCAGAGATCACCTCTGTGACACCTAGGCTCAAACTATATGAAGATGGATTATCAGTAATCATTTCAAAGTGTTTTTATCGTTTTGATGCCATTGAACACAACTTTTGATCAGAACAACAGCTAAGGTAAGAATATCTCAGAGTTTCCTCCGTGAAGCTACGTGATGTGATGTCTGTTTTCGCGTCCCCTGTCGCGAGTTCTGATCGCTCAGTGATGATACTTATATGTCTGGAATCTGTGGAATCTCCGCTTGCTAATCGATATCTTGTTTGTGCAGATCCGATAAGTAATACGGGTATTTTACCTTGAGTTCTGTGCTAACTGCGTTAGCATTTTTTCGCTCAGGGCTAATTCAGAGCCTTTGCTATTACCCTTATGTTTCGTTTTGCTAAAAATGGTTAATATTGTCTGATAGCTGAGTTTCTTCCTGTTAAGTGGGTATGACACATTCATAGTTTATTAAGTGTTAAGAAGCCCTCAGACGCTGTTTCTTGCAAGAAGTTGCGTCATAGTACCACCATACTGTAAAAGTACCCAGTTACAAGTAAAAGTCCTACATTGATGATTTTTACTGAAGTAGAATAAAGTAAGTATAATTAACAAAATGAACTTAAAGTATTATACGTAAAAGTGCCCAATGCAAGAACATTTTGAATACATTCTAAAAACTTAAATATGTATATAGATGCCATTTAATTTCCTCTCAATTGGCAAGTTGATTAAAGTTTGTTTTTGAATAAACTATTGGCTTGTTTACAAAACATCACATTTTATAAACACTTGTGTTCTTTAATCAAACAATCTTAATTTGTAAGGTAAGAAGTTACGCCTGGAAAACAAATGTAGTAAAAGGGTTAAGTATAGAGTTGAAGTATATAGTGGCATGAAATGAAAATACTCAATTAAAGTACAAGTACCTCGAAGTTAAGTACTACTAAATTCCCACCAGTGGCTGTTAGCAGGACACCTACAGAGAGAAGTCATTAAAATGTCTGCCCTGTGAACAAATTTAGCAACGTGCCCCAGAAAAACGGTTTTTTTAAAAGAGGAAACTTTCCTTCATGTAGTTTCCATGGATGGTGAGTGTGCACAATGATGAATTATGAGGTGAATGGGTTCAGTAAATGTCTCTTTCTCGTTATACCGACGCCTCTCTTCCTCACTTTCTCCCATAGATTACCTGAAAAAGAGGAGAATTGAGATTGAAACTGAGATTGATCTTTACACAAAATGCCACTAACATGTCTCACGTTGGGCCATGATGGCTGTGGATTGCATTTCATTATTGAAAAGATATCTGAATATATGACGGA